GAGGAGTGGCTGGTGGGTTTGAACCGCCAGCCTTCTGGTTAGCAGTCAAGTGCCTTAGGCACTATGCTACCAGAGCTCCTATGCAGATGAGAAAAACTGAGATCTACAGAAGGAAATATTTTACCAAATTACTAGTGGGGGGCTGGCCTAGGGTCCAGGTGCCTTGACTTCTAGCTCTTTTTAATTGCATAGGATTTATGAGTACTTCCCTTCTTTAAGAACTTAAAATATAACTGAGAATGTTAAAGTGCCCTTGGCCACAACCCCAATGTCAGCTCCCTTCCCAGAGGTAGCTGCTATCTTCAGTTGGATGTGTGTCCTTCCATACCTTTCTCTGTATTTATAAACATACACATGTACTTGGAGCAATACATCACATCTTTGTGGCTTTTTTAAAAAATAAACGACATAATATATTGTATATATTATGGCATACATTAAGTCCTACAAGGAAGGAAGATGGGGCAATATACTTCCATAGTGATACTGCCTCGGAAACCCAAGGAGGGGTCACTATGAGTCCAGTTCGACTTGACAGCACATAACAAAAGTCCTACAATGTGCTAGTTTTCCTCAACAATGTGCCCTGGAGACCTTTCCTTATCAGTAAACATAAACCTATCCAATTTCTTTTAAATTCCTGCAAAGTATCTTAAAGGCTTGCCATAATTTACTTAACTATTGTCTTCTTATTTCAGATAAATAAACAAAACCAAGCTTACTGCCATCAAGTCTCCCCTTTCCGAGGTGGTAAATCTTTATGGCAGGAGATTGCCCAGTCTTCCTTCTGCAGACTGACTCATAGGTTTGAACCTGCCAGCCTTCTGGTTAGCAGTCAAACACCTTAGGCACTACGCCACCAGGACTCCTTCTTATTTCAGATCCTCGCTATTATTTGTAATACTTCAATAAATACAAATGCTCTGGTGGCATAGTGCCTAAGGCATTTGACTGCTAACCAGAAGGCTAGTGGTTCAAACCCACCAGCCATCTGTGGAAGGGAGACTAGGCAATCTACCTCCATAGAGATACCACCTTGGAAACCCAAGGAGGGGTCACTATGAGTGGGATCGAGTTGACTCAACGGGAGTGAGTTTGGTTTTATTTATTTATTTATTTATTTATTTGGTATGTCATGGGACAAGTGATTCCCCAGATCAAAGGCTTTTTGCATGTTTAATTTGAATCGATATGACTAAATTATTGCAGCCTTCTTTCCACTAGGAGATACCATGTAATAGTATAGAATAGGACCCCTGTGTGCCCACCCCCCATCGCCTGGCACCTCATTGTTTTTATTCGCCATCAACTCAGCCCCAACTCCCGGCGACCTCATGAGTTACAGAGAACCGCTCCATGGGGTTTTCTTGGCTGCAGTCTTTCCAGAAGCAGCTCACCAGCCTTTTGTTCCATAGAGCTGCTGAATGGGTTCAAACCACCGACCTTTGGGTTAGCAGCCAATCACGAACAGCTTATACCACCACCCAGGCTCCATCATACAGGCCCAATACACAGGCCACTTGTGTATTTCCAATGTGACTTAGAAAGAAGGTCACTCTGCAAACAGAAGAAGCGGGGGGGA